GTATATATATATATATATAAAATTTTATATTTATATTTTGATTAGAAATAAAATATATATGAATTTATGTATTTGTATATATAAATCTATATATTCATGCATTTTGGACTAGAACTTTGTCTACGGATATTAAAAATTAGTCGAGATTTGGTTTATTAATTTCTCGAATCGTAGTTAATGAGTCATATTATAACCAAACTTTACTTGTCTGAAAACAGATCTAATGACTTTCAAGAAAAAATTTTGCTAGGGTTGGACTGGCTCGAAATTGGATTGTTGACAGCCCTAGCTATACCTAATTTTCTTTTGCAGTATTTGTAATTTATCATGGTTTTCCTGTCTTTGAAGCTGACAATTGTGTATGCTTTTTTAGTACTACCTTTTGTTAGCTTTTTTCCCGAATTTGAAGTACTTTTTTTTCTGTGATTTTGCATCTCTGAGGTTGTAGGAAGCCTTGAATTTCTTAAAACCGTATTTTTGCCTCCTGAACACAAATTTTGGCCTATTTTATGTTTTTTTTTTGGGTAGTCCCGTTTTCTCTTTTATGTTTTCTGTTCTGTTATCATTTCTTTTTAGTTATTTCCTATGTATGTGCTGTATTAGGGTTTGGAAGTCAGCTTTTGCTTGGTTTTCTGTAGGACATCCTTTGATATTCTGATTTCTCCATTTTAGGGCTGGTATCCAACAGCAAGAAGGTATTCTGGCTGTAACTCATCCTTAGGTGGTGTGTAACTCTATTTTTCCTACTCCCCACAACCCTTCCCCTCGCGCGTACTTCCCTTTTCCTCGTAGTCTCCTGGGACAGCAGTCTTGCTGTCTTTTGCCTGCAGAGCAGCCACCCAACCACCTATTTCCCTCACTCCAGCCGCCTGTCCTCGTTCCCAGCCGTCTCTCCCTCAATGCGTCCGCCTGGAACAACACTCCCTGCTGTTCTTTCCTCAGTCCAGCCCACTTTTCTCTTTACAGCCGCCTAGGACAGCAAGTGGTTGTGTCTTCACTGTTGTTTTTCAACTGATTTCCAGCCAGCCAAACCCCACTTTTTCCCACTGCAGCCAACTGCAACTTCCCCTTCCTCCTCATACAGCCATCCACCGCCTTGCGACCCTGCTCTTGTAGTCCACTCACCAAATCCTACCACCGCTTTTGGATACAGTTTAGCTGCATTTATTTTTGTTTGTCATTGTATTTCACTTTCAATTGTGTTTGGTTGTAATCACATATTTGTTTTTGGTAATAATATTTGTTTTTCTATTATTTTTTAGTTGATTCTGTATCATTTGCTATCAGAGCTAGTACAATACTAGTCTTATCCTAGGGTTCCTAGCATTCACTACTATCGAACCGCACATTCATCTAAAATTTTTCTTTCCCATCCTACAGCACCCCTATCCACGCCCTGCTGCCGCAGAAATAATTGCCAGAACCAGATGGGGAATTTACCATGGGAGAGTTACAGTGAAAGCTCTGTCGAGTGCTACGACTTGATTACATTGAGTAAAGGATCCATGGAGAGGACACCGGTAAGCATGATAACAAGATCTGAACAGGTGTGAGAGTGGAACACCTGAATCTCTTCCATAGGTCTGATTTCAGCGGAGAAGAAGACATGCCATGACACTTTCGGATACAGTATCAGGGGGGGTTGAGAGATGAAGTTCCTCTTAGAAAATACAATGATGAAGTGTGTGTTTGAGGATATAGAGACAGAGTGCCTATTGTGGGATACCAAGTCGTAGGAGTGAGAAAGGGAAACATCGGATTTCGAGGGGAGGATGAATACAAATGATTTCATAGAGTGGTTGTAGACCATCGAGAGGGTCTTTGAATACAAAGAGATGTCAGATGATCTGTAAGTTAAAATTGGGATATCAAGCTGAAGAAGAGCACGTTGTTGTGGTGGGAGAATCTAAAGAGGGAGAGAAATAGAGAATTACATAGCAAGATCACTACATGGGAGAAGATAAAGAGAGAGTTGCAGCCATATACTCCCCACTAACATCTAGATCTTTTCTTGAGGCTCCACTACTTGCAACAGAGGAAGCTATCAGTGGAGTACACCGCGGAGTTTGTGTTGGAGCCAGAGAAGCACACGATAGCCAATTATTTGGGAGGCTTGCCGCCTTCGATCGTCAAAGTTGTTCAGCTCGTCTTACTGGTCCTTTTTTGACGTTCAGACCCTAGCACTGATGGTGTAGAGATAACAGAGGCAAAGCAAGTACCCACCGCCACTCAGATAGCCACCCAAAGTTGGAAACATCAGTAAGAGCAACCCAAAGTGAGAAGCAGGAGAAGAGCAGTACCCCCACTACCGCCCCAACAAAGAAATGTTTCAGACGTCATAGTTTTAGATACATCGCTTCCATATGCCCGAAAAATCGAGTTTTTCTTTCATCGAGAAGGGTGCAGTGGAGGAAGTGAGCAACAGAGAGGCAACCGAAGAACAAGGTGAGGAGTACTAGATTCCATCGAATGAGGGCGAGATGCTAGTGTTACGATACATCCTTCAGATTAGGGCTATGAGGGAGCAGCAGTGGTTTCGCCACAACATATTCTATACCCATTGCACTATAAAGGAAAATATGTGCAGTCTTATCATTGATGAATGAAGCATAAAAAATGTGGCGCCTACACCTATGTTAGACAAGTTGAGTCTCAAGACTCAGAAACACTCCCAGTCGTACTCCCTGACATGGTTGAGGAAGAAGAATAAAATCAACTTTGACAGGATGTGCCCCGTGGAGTTTTCGATTAGGAGATAGTTGCAAGATTAGGTTTGGTGTAACATGGTGTCCTTGGATGTGCGTCACATGTTGAAGAGTTCTTGGCAATTTGATAGTTAGCCTCGGCATGACGGGTACATGAACACCTACTCATTCACCAATGATGAAAAGTGTATTGTTCTCTTACCTTCGATGGAGTCTGAGATTATAGGTGTTCTTGACAGCGGATAAGCGCTAGCGAGATCAATTTTGGTGATGATAGATGATGGTAGGACTGAGGCGCCGATTCTAGACACGGGGCATTCACTATGAAGAAAATTTTATGACATTATGATCAATACCTTACCACTATGCCCATCACCATTTGGGAAGGTTCACGCTACCCTATCTTCAGATTAGCTTGAGCCAACCTTGGGTTACTTTTGGAAGATTCAGCAAAAAATGTGATAGAAGTCCTAGTTCAATTTAGTGGGGTAACCAAAGTAAATTGGATTGATATGGATGCATGCTCACAAGCGGAGGACTCTTCTCAGGTGTTTTTTGGGGACAATACAAATGCTAGTGAGATCTAGGAGCTTCTCAGACCGCAATCGAAGAGCCTTCAATCCTAGAAGGTCACAGCAGCTCAACCACCTTCAACGTGGTCGGTTTGATCTTATACTATGAGGAGACAAGCTTCAACGAATGAGGTTGAAGCTCTCCCGACCCTAGGAGGCTTATGCGGGAGTGCTCTCGCTTAGAATGTGAGATGCGAGCTTGCCCGTCACAGGAAACGGGCCGAAATAATCTCATTTTTCCTTTTTTATGCTTTCTTTTCTATTATCTTCCATTTTTTTTAGTCATTTCTTTTATATTTTTTGTATTAGGATTTGGAAGTCGGTTTTTGTTTGGTTTTCTATCAGGGCTGTCGTCGGCGTTTCGATTTCTCCCTTCTAGAGTTGTTTCCAAATGAGAGAAGGTGTTCCGGCTTTAACTTGTTCTGACATTATACTAGGGAGACATGCTTCGACGAATGAGGTTGAAGCTCTCCAGACCCTAGGAGACTGATACAAAAGTGCTCTCCCTTTGAATGTGAGATGCGAGCTTGTCTGTGATAGGGGACGGGCCGAAATAATCTCATTTTTCCTTTTTTATGCTTTTTTTTCTATTATCCTTCATTTCTTTTTAGTCATTTCTTATATATGTTTGTATTAGAGTTTCGAAGTCAGTTTTTTTTTTGTTTTTTGTCAGGGCTACCGTCGGTGTTCCGATTTCTCCCTTCTAAAGTTGTTTTTAAAAGAGAGGTGTTCCGACTTTAACTTGTTCTGAGGCGGTTTGTCTCTTCTATTTTCTTACTCCATTGAACCCTTCCCCCCCCCCCCCCCCCCCCTCCCCCCTTTTTCTTCCCCCCCCCCGCCCCCGCAGTCGCCCGGGACAGCAACCTTACTTGTTTCTTCCTGCAGACCAACCCACCAACCACTTATTTCTCTCATTCCAGCCGCCTCTCCTCCCAGAACAGCAGTCGTGGCTATTCTTCCCGCAGTCAAGCCCACTACTCTTTCCAGCCGCCTGGGACAGCAAGTGGCTGAGTCCTCGTTGTTGTTTCTCCGCTGATTTCAGCCAGCCAATTCCAACTTTTTCCATTGCAGCCAACCACAACTTCTACTTCCTCTTACAACCATCCGCCACCTCGCCACCTCGCCACCCTCCATTCATGCACTCACCAAATCCGATCACCACCTTGGATATAGTTTAGTCACGGTTGCTTGTGTTTTTTGTTGTATTTCACTTTCAAGTTTGTTTGGTTGTAAGCGCATATCTGCTTTTGGTGATAGTATTTATTTTTTCTATTGTTATAATTTTAGTATTAGTTTTGGTCCCAATGAATTTTTCTTACTAGAGATTTTCATGTTTTGCTTTTGCATTCACTCTTTTTTTACAAAGGAAAAAAAATATTGTAGTCTTTGTTACAATATTCTTTAAAATTATTTTTCTTCTACCATATATCTTTATTTTGAAGTGGCTATATGAAAGGGCCTATTATTTATTTATTTAGTTAATTTCTTAAGTCTTTATTTTTGTTCTCTTAGTTAAATCAACTTATTTTTAAAAATATTCAAAATATTTTTAAAAATAACTACCATTGTTGCAAGTCCTCTTGCTTTCCGACGCCGACCTCTAAACCCTGAATCCTATCACCCTATTACCCTATTACCCTAAAACCTATACCCTGAACTCTAAACGTTAAACTCTAAACCCTATTTATCTATCGATGATAAATACCACCTCAGGAGCGAAATACAGCCGGAGCTTCACTTGACTTAGAGAAAAATCACCTGCATCGAAGTACCACTCGCCTTTGGATACAACTCAAAACAAGAAAAAATGCGATGCAGACGAACCTCAAACATCAAGAACACACATATATAACCCCCAGATAACTAGGAGTGGTTCTCTTATCTTGAAAGAGGTGATACTCCCCTTTGGAAGTGCCTACTGGCTCTCTCTGTCTTCTGCTTCGCTCCAGGTATAAGCGTCGCGACTCATGTCTCTCGCATCTGCTTTTTGGACCCCGCTTCAATTTTATTCAAATCAAAACATAAATAAATCAAAATCAAAATAATTAAAAAAAACAATAGTGATGCTGGTCTCTAGAGCTTTTCCTGTTGTTTTTGGAGGTTTTTTTTTTCTTTTTTTATTACTTTCCTAACATTTTAAATATTATTTAAAACTACTTTCCTTCTACCACTCTTCACCATGTCCTTAAAATCATTAATAGATCTACTTCTCTCTCCCTCACACTTTGCTTTCAAAATCTAATTTTTCTGCTATTTATTGCAGCCGTTGATGAGAGAACTGGAAGAAATGGACAAGGTGAACTCTCATCTCTCTGTTTCTGTTGAGGAAGTAACAGAGGCCCACCGACAGAAAGCTGAGGTAATTTAACCCCTTAATAATTTTTTTTATGTTCAAAAATCTATTTTATTGTAACAAATTATTAGCTGCGTGATTCATTGTCCCCCTTATACAAGATATTCTTATAGCATATTAAATAAACAGACGGGGGCATTTACATACATACCACCCAATTCCCATGTATTTACATATCGACACCTGAACTTTGCTTTTTTGCATTTATACCTTCCCAATCTTTCATATCACATAAAAACAATATCATTATTTTAACTTTTAGAAGTGAAATACACATTTTCATTCATCGGTAAGGTGACGTATATGTAAAACTTTAATAAGCTCTGCCTTCTAGAAAGAAATTATAAGCTCTGCCTCCGCTTTCCTTCTAGGAAGAAATCTTTTTTTTCCCGAGTGCAGCATCAGATTCACTTTCCTTGTCTTTCCTGCATCTTGTAACATCTTCGCGTGCAGCAAGATTTTTTTGATTAATAGGAGAAAATTTCCTTTATTTCCTCTAGAGAAATATGGAAAATATCGCTTCCAAATTTCTTCTCAGCAGCAAAGGAATAAAATCAAAACTTATTTCATTCTAATTTTCTTCTCTGCCTTCCACAAAGAAATAAAAACGGAACTTGATTTTCATCGGTAAGGTGACATATATGTAAAACTTTAAGTTTTAAGTGTATCTATGTAAATACATAAGAATTGAGTGGTAGCCTGGTAGGCACGTAAATCCTCCTAAAAAAACATAAAGCCGACAACCACGTGAATCATTGTCTCCTGCATAACACAACTGCCATTACTATAATGCTAATGCTGGATGCCCCTCCAATAAACATTTAGGGTTACCAATTATGCTCGAAATTCAAAGCTCATTAGATGATCCCTAGTTGAATCCCTCTCTCTTTTTCTATTCACATCTTACAATACTTTATTCATTTAAATCAAGGAAGATTTACATACATACCACTCAATTATTCTTATGAATTTACATATCTAACACCTAAGCTTCAATTTTTTACAAAAATGTCTCCTTACATACGCATGGAAAGATGTATTTCACTTTTTAAAAGTTGAAATGCTCGTATTTTTTATGTGATGTGAAAGAATTGGGTGGTATATATATAAAAAATAAAGTTTTAGGTGTTGGATATGTAAATATATGTAGGAATTGGGTAGAATTGCCAAAGGTGGATGTAGTTCAAATACTTGTTATGACCAGCTCGAAATTATATCATTTTAACTCGATTTATATGATATAGTTTCACACAATTATGCACATGTTATTTCATAAGAATTATGTAGGAATTTTACCTAAATACAAAATAATTCTTATGTATTTACATATCTAACATTCAAAAGTACGAGAGCTTGATCTGAAAATATGAAAGTTAAGGCGTGAGAGATGTGAATACATAAAAATTGCGTGCTTTTGAATTCCTACATAATTCTTATATGTAGGAATTATGTATAAGAATTATAAGAATTTTTTTTTAGGTATTTGTTTTTATTATGTATAAGAATTATGTATAAGAATTAAAAGTTTAGGAATTATGTATAAGAATTATAAAAATTGCGTGAGAGATGTAAAAACCTCGAATAAAAATAATAAATAATTCAAACATTATTATTATTATTATTATTATTATTATTATTATTATTTAAATTTTTTGTTTATTGTAGATTGTGAAGCATCACCCGCATGAGGTGGGATGGGAAAGGCAGGTATTTGTTGATTTCTTCTGCAATCCTGATCGGCTCAGGAATCGTGTCAAGGAACTCACTGCTCGCGCTAAGGTTTTGCAAAAATAATTTCTGCTTTTACATTTTTAACCATCGTAACTTTTTCTTGTGTCTGATTTTATATTTATATCTGTTCCGATTGCTACAATCCTCCTCATTCAATCATAATAATAAAAAATTACGCTAGGATATGACTAAAGTGATTTTATATTTGATTATTGTGTAAAAATATGTTTTTTTTATGCATTTGCACGAGGCATATACAATATATAAAATAAATACAGCCTTATTTCAGATTCATTACTGTCAGGAAAAAAAAAAATCCTTAATATTTTGTAATTCTTATCAAACAATGTAACGTAGCCGGTCCTTTCAACTTTCAAAAAATTAAAAGAAAAAAATATATATTTAACACGTTAAAAAAAATTGTATGAATTAATTTTTTTTTTTTTCCTTTTAATTTTTAGCTGTTTCTATCATTCGAACAAGTGGTGTCATGTCTCCTTTTTTAATTTCAATAATGCTAGTGGGCATTTACATATATACCACAAGCGGTGTAAGCTTGTGTTCGGCTCGTTTATATTTCGAGCTCAAAAGTTTGTTCGTGTTCGGCTCGTTTGCTTAACGAGCCAAATACGAGCTGTTCACGAACTCTTTTTACCCCCCTCTTCATGTAGCCATAAGACATAAGACATAAGACAATAAGGATTTTAACAAGATTTAAAAATTATTATTTATATTAAAACATCATTTGAATCTAATTTAATAATTTTTATTCTATTTTCTTAATCAATATTTTAATTGATTATAAATTTTTGTAGTCTTGTAGTCAATTAGATTTTTCTAAAATACTACTACTATATATATATATTATATATGATAAGTAGTTTTTTGAACCAAAATGAGCCGAACGCGAACGAACACATCTTAGTTCGTGTTCGGGTCGTTAACTTATCGAACGAAATTAATGAGCTAAACATGAGCTGTTCGCGAACAACGAGCCGTTTTGACAGTCCTATACACAACACAATATATATGTACCATATATCTAACATTTTTTTTTTTTTTACATTTAAACCATATATCTTTTATATCCCATTAAAAATTGCAATTTTAATTCTTATAAAGTGATGCATGTTTTCATGAGGAAAATGGTAGATATGAAAAAATTGAAGTTTAGGTGTATGTAAATAAATAGGAATTAAGTGGTATGTATGTAAATCTTTCTAATGATGATAATAATAACAGCAGCCTCTAGAACAAAATCTTGCAGATACTAGAAAAAATAAGGGGAAAAAATCATAATATTTAGACCTTTTTTGATAATGGATATTTAGAAAAAAAAATTCGAGATCAATTTTGATTGATTTTATTTTTTTAATTGTACTCACCAGAAAATAAGTTAGTTAATTTAAGGTTCATTCTAACTTAAATACAGTTATTAATTTAATGCCAAAATAATAAAATTATCAAAATCGAAGAATTTAATTCGAGGTAAACAAGAGTAATATGAATTTTAATTTAGGCTTAGATTGATTTTAATGTAAATTTATTGGTATCAAAGTACTATGGAATTATATGTATTAGTCTAATTATGTTCTATGATTTTCTCTTTTTTTTCTATTAATTTAACTAAAATAAAATATATATTACCTTCCATCAAAATCAATCTAAAAGCAAGTCCCCACCAAATAAATACGGCGTTTTTATGAACTTAGATCAATACTTCCCAGCTATTATCCTGAGATTGTTTTGGTTCCAAAGTTTATATAAGTGTCAAGATAGTCTCCAGGCTTCTTAAAATATTGTTGAAATAGTTCTTATTAAAGACTACTAGAATTTAATTTTAAAATAGTAGAAGGCTTATTTGACAACTTTATAAACTAGGACTAAAAGAACCCCACATAAATATTCAACGGCACTTTAGTATATTTCTATATATTACAAATAATTTGTATTTAGCAAAAAAGACCCCCCGACAAATACCTAACTAGAATTAAAAAAAAAAAATAAAAGAATATATTTTTTCTTAAACAAAACTTGAAAGTTGGTTAGGAGAGAACAATTAAAGTAATGTCATTGTTTTATATTATCCTCTCTTTATTACTAAAGTGATTAACATTTTAATTTTTTTTTTAATCCAAAAGATTAGCAATAGCTTTTTTCTTTAATGACGATTATTTAACTTAAAATGGAAAGCGTGTGGGGTCAAAGTAGCAAATGATTATTTATTATTTTTTAAAAAAGTAAGATTTCCATAAATGCCACTCAAATCTATGTATTTACATATCTAACACCTAAATTTTCTATTTTTGCACATATATATTTGTGTGTGTGTGTGTCATCTTATTTATGCATTTATATAAATGAAAAAAATAAAAATTAATTGTTAGATATGTAAATACAAAAATATGTTCTTAGTTATGCTGTCTAATTTAATTTTGTTTGAATAATTTTTAGAAATGATGCACTGGATGTACATCTGAATATCTTAGATAAAATTGCAAAAATGGAAAAAAAATAAATAAATAACTTGTACATAGCACAACGTGAAGCCAATGAATAAAATTGAATTAAAAGGACTGTTTTTATGTTCAGACCACCTAAAACTTCAAATATAATAATATGACCCCTCAAACTCTTAAAATTTTTATTTTAACTACGTTAAATCTTTCATTTCTTCAAAGCATCCACTCCACAAAAATTTTCATCACATTCGTTGCTTGCGGGATCGTTAGAGTCGATCAATACAACGCCCTAGCCACTGCCTCCAATCCATCCCGGAAAGGTGATCAGAGGCAGCGGCTAGGGCGATGAATCGATCGCCTACAACGAGCTCGCAAATGACTTGATGAAAATTTGTTAAGTGTTAAAAATAAAAATTTTAATGTTTCTCTTAAAATAAAATAAATAATTTACATTTCAATTAATTAGTATATTTTCTATTTAGAATAATTATTGAATTAATTATATTAAAAATTATAAAGTAAATAAAAACAAGATTTAAGCAAATTAATAAAAAACTTATTAGTGGAATCATTTTTTTTTAAATAGTAAAATATATAGTGGGATGAAATTCATTCTTTTTCCTTAATTCGAATTTTTTAAATTTTATGTAATTATATTAAACAGTTGTTGAAGCGATTTTCTATTAAAAATAATAATAAAATCACGCAAATTTAAAGCGAATGATACTGACATTAAACGCAAATTGATGGGTCCAACTCACGTGTGTGATAATAATTACATGTCATGACTTATCAAAGTCGACAAAATATTTGGTGCTCATTTATTTTGCTACTTTTTAGGACAATTCACATTTAGGAAAATTTACATATATACCACTTAGTTTTTAATTTATATAATTATCTCATAAATTTCAATTTTTATATGCCTATCACCTTACGTATACATGAAAAAAATGTATTGTTTTCTAAAATTAAAATAATAATATTTTTGATATGATATGAAAGATTTGAATCGTTTAAATATGAAAAATAAATAAACACTTTAGTCGAGTCAGGCTAAACTCGAGCCCGATAGCTCGTTAATGAGTCAAGCTAGACTCCTTTTCCACCCCTAATCTCAGCCTTACGTAATCGGACGGCTCACAAAGAATGATCATCCTCATAGAAAAAAAAAGCACCCATTTTCCCAACTACAATAGAAATTCGATTCGAATTTCTCAACTCCACGTTGCCATGTTCCCCATTAGACGGCCCACAATTCTTTGCCGGTCCAAAAAGTCCAACCAGCCGGCCCAACCCGCGACAAGAATAACCGGCACTCGTCTAATTCCTGTCCCCTTTCTGACCAGCACACCTATTTATACAGTTGTACCTGTGCCTTTCCTTTCTTCCTCTGCTCTCGCCTATTAAACATACCAAAACTCCGGCGATCGATCGATCATGGATGCGGAGAATCTGAAGGCAACGGAGCTTAGACTCGGGCTTCCGGGCGCCGAAGAAGAGCCTGAGCGCTTCCGTGGGTGGAAGCGATTGATGGTGGAGCCGGCGAGGGTGGACGGTGAGCCGGTGATTGAGATCTCGGAGGATGATGAAGGACAAGATTCGATGGCTTTGTCGAAGTAAGTCTGATAGTTTGGTTTTCGTTTTTTGTTTGGTTTTTGAGCTAAGATTAGATGGTGTGTATGATTTTGACAGAGCTCAAGTAGTGGGATGGCCGCCGATCGGGATGAATAGGAGGAGTGGTTTACAGGGGAGGAGGACGGAGACTAATGGTGTCGCCGGTGGCGGCGGAATATATGTGAAAGTTAGTATGGATGGCGCTCCGTACTTGAGAAAGATTGATCTGAAGGTTTACAGAAGTTACGAGGAGCTTAGAAAGGCGTTGGAAGATATGTTCAAGTGCTTCACCTCCGGTAAGAAAGGGTGGAATTAACTTATACCCATTTGTAGTGATAGATCAAGAATACATAAAATCATGGTGGTTGATTTCTAATTTTGATTATTCAGGGGATTTTCTTCCGGCGTCCGTCGGAGGTCGCGGATCGAGTTTTGCAATTGCTTATGAGGATAAGGATGGGGATTGGATGCTGGTTGGAGATGTTCCATGGAGGTAAGAAGCACTATGAAAACATTTAGAGTTCTAGTAATTTAGTATCAAAGAAAGCTAAAAAAAAAAAGCAAAGATTAGATCAACAAAAATTATGCAATAAAACTTGAATTATTATATGATCTTGTGAAAAAAATACAAAAGAAATGATCTCAGCTTAATTTCATTAAATTTATGTTCATTTCAGGATGTTTATTTCTTCTTGCAAGAGGTTGAGGATAATGAGAGGATCTGAAGCCAAAGGGTTGGGGTCAATTCATGAATGATTTTAAGTTTTTTTTTTTATAAATTTTGCTTGGGAAATTCGAGTTGTATAAATAGATGATTATGGATCATTCATCAGTTATATATAATTTAAAATTACAGAAAAGAAGGCATCAATTGCTTTTTTTCTTATGATTTAATTTTATTTTTTTGAAAGCTAGTTATAATATGTGAGCTTAAAGTGCCTTTTGATGTTCAGGATTTACCTTGGCTGTAATATGGATTTGATCTTTTCTATGCTATTTGAAATTTTTTTAATGAAATTTTAGATAAATAAATAAATAAATATTGATGAAATCAAAGTAAATTGAATGAAGCTCTAATATTCTTGTTATTTATTAGGAAAGTATTATGTATGTAAAAATGAAAATTTAAGTCTGAGATAGATAAATCTATAAAAAAATGAGGTGCTATGTATGTAATTTTCCCTTTAGATTTATGAATGCATCCGACAGCAGTCATGTGATGCACATGATACTGCATATTTTTGGTAGCAGAATATAAAGGAGCCTAACTATAGTCATTTGTATATATATTTTTAGAATCATTATATATAGTAATAATAATAGCAATAATTCTCTTTTGAGATAGATCGTTAATTATAGATTTAGGAATGCCTCGTTCAAAAATATATATTGAGTATATATAATTCAAAATAAAAGAAATATTCCCTATGACAAATAGTCCCTGAGGGGTGTGAAGCTCAGCTCGTAGTGGTAGCGACCGATAGGAAAATGCATCGAAATGATTAGTAGTAAACAATTCGAGCCGGCTCACAAGTTAACGATCCGAGCTAGGACGAGCATGTAGCCAGATAATCTCGACTCATAAGCCTTTTAGTGAGTCGAGCTCAAGCCAACTCAGCTCAATTACACCTGACTGTTTATATGGAGTTGTTTTAGTCTCAGAGTTTATATAAAAGTGTCAAAATAGTCTCTAACTTTTTTCAAATTGAGCTCTAATATTCCTTCATATAAGTACTATTTTAGCCACAATTTAATTATGGGATTAGAATGACCCTGTGTAAATAATCAGATTTTGACTATTTTAGCACTTTACTCAAAATAATAATAATAGTAATAATAATAATAATTGTTTCTTAGCGTAGAAAATGAATAAAAAACAATTATTAAATAAATCAATCAAATTAAAAAATTAAATTATTTTTAAATTACATATCAAAATCAATGCATATATTCTTCTAAAAAAATTATAACTTTATCAAATTAATAAATTCTTGGAGAGTACACATTTTATTAAATAAATTAAGGATTAATAGCTAATAAGCAGTTCCTAATTATTTCTATTTTTTGTGATATCCTTGTTAAATTGCATAGTTACATTTTGATCCCTATAAAATAAATGTGCTCTTTTACAAGGAGTGAAAGGGAGATGTTTATTTTGTGGATTTTCATTAAAGAAATTTTTTATAATATTAGAGATCTAAATTATTTTATGTCGTATCACAATGAAATATACACTGTCTTATCTTATAATTAAATTTATTTTTTTTTCTATTTTTTTTTCTATTTTTGGAAATATCTCATACAAACCATTCAGAAACATACTAAGCTTGAATCAACATGTGAGCCAAATTAAAACCTAACTTAAATTCCATGCAAATGCCATTGTAAGAAGAGATCTGAGAAGTCAATTTATATGCCATAATTGGCTGAACACATTATTAACTACACATGCGTCCCCCATGCTATGCATGAGTTTAACCATGCATGCATGTGTAATTTGTTCATAGTACACATTCAAGAGACTTGAATCTACCTGTCTCCTAATAACGAAGCTTCCAAGAAATGCAACCTTGGCATTTCTTGTGTTAGAATTTAATCATAAATGCTTATATTAAAGTTTTTTAAGCTTATTCCTTCTTTATGCATAGGATCAAAATTAGGCTTGTCATATCGAGTCGAATGCTGGTTTGGATAACATTCTTCATCTTGGAGATGTGTTTTATCAGCTGCCTTATGATCTCGAGGTGGTTGAGTGTTTTTGTAGCAAGGACGGGCAGTTGATCACAAATTGTGTCTCGACCTGTAACCCTTCGCCTTGGGTGGTCGGTTTTTATGGATTGAAGGTTCTACTCTGGAGGAAGCGGGGTTAGAGTTAGATTTTTCAATCGATATGTGGTTATTGGCCAACTTTAACAGCTCGAACAACATTTTCGTTCGTTGTAGATCAAACACATATCAAAAGGGTCCTTCGTTCAACCCTTAACCTAAGGCGATGTAAGCGAATGAAGGCTCCATGTCCCGCAATTCTAACATTTCATTTTGGAAGCACACGATGAATGGGCATAGGCTCTTGCTCTGTCCCTAACGGATCTGCAAAAGTGCTTGTGAGGTTTTCTGGGATTCTTGGGAGTTTTTTTTTTTTTTTTGGTAAAGAGCCAAAAGGCTCTGTATTTTATTCCAACAAAAGAAAAAGTACAAAAGAAGGAAGCTCGAGGAACTTAAACACCCCCTACACAACTCACACAAGCAAACAAAAACATAAGGTTCCTCTACCTCAAAAGAAAATACAAAGTAAACAAAACAAAAGAAAAAACAATCAACAAAAATTAGAAATAAAATCAAGAATAGCCAAATGAGAAAGAGCTTAATGCACCAAAGTAGAAACAACAACAGAAATCCCACGAGCACCTTCTTTAGCCGCCCAGTTAGCAGCCATATTATCTTCTCGTTTAATATGAAGCCAATTTATATCCAAATTTTTAGAAAGATGCATAATGCTCTTCATCTGGTGACTAATACTCCAATGATTTTTAATTTGAGACCTGCAAGATTGCCAAAGAAATAAAGAATATGTTTCAATAATAATGTGATGCCAACCAAACCTTTTAGCAACCAGTAGAGCAAAGACAACGACATTCGCTTCTGCCACGAAAGGAGATTTTGAACAAGAGGATGCCATAAACCAACAAATTATAAAACCTAATTAATGTCTACAAACACCACCCACTCCGGCAGAATTAGACTTCCAACTACCATGTATAGTGCCTTAGGACAACACCACTTGATTCTACTAGATCTCTGAAAAGGCTTATCATTAGAAAGTTACAAAGAACAAAAAACACCCAACAATTTATCAGAACCAGACAGATTGGAGAAAGAAATACTCTTCTTGATGTGATTTAACATCATATCAACCGTATGATTAAAATTCGGAAGCTCCATACTATGCTTGGCATTATTACGTGTCATCCAAATAAAACACATTATAATAGAATGCACATTGAGAAAAAAGGAATGTCCCAACCTTTTCCAATCTTTATAAATGTCAAAAATGCTATCGTAACTACCCCAGTCCTTCGTAATATAAAGAAAAAACATTATTTCCACCCAAATTGTAGAAGCAAAACTGCAATTACGAAAAATATGCATAACACCTTCTTCATCAGATTTATAGAGAACACAATGTGAGGGAAGACAAAGTCCTTTCAGTGTTAAGATATCATCAATTGGCATGGATTTATTAAGCACTCTCCAAACAAAAAAAGAAATGGATGGCCTCACCCAACCATTCCAAATCCATTTCAAATCCATACCATGATAATTATGAATAGAATTAACTAAGGTCTTCGAAATAGAATCACCAAAGTTATTTTTAATTATAGGCACATCAAGTTGATCTCGATTAATAGGAATAGAAAAATAAAATTCGCATTAGTAGTATTAACCATCTATACCAGAAATATTAGCATTCCATAGATCAGAAATATTAAGATTAATAGGATGAGAACCCCCATAGAAATCAACTAAAGGGCCCTTACCTAACCAATCATCATACCAAAAAGAACATTGCCTTTGCCAACCTCCCAAAAAATTAAGTCCTCAGTTTGCTGAGCCACTTTCAACATAGCTCGCCAAATGAAAGAATCATTTCTGAAACTAGAAGTATTTGAAGGATGTTGACCTTTACAATACTTAGCATGCAATAAGGAAGCCCATAAGGAATTGTTGGAACAAAATCTGAACCAAAGTTTCATGTAATTAATTTCAATATAATCAAAAAGGCTACAAAAACCAAGACCTCCTTTATCCAAAGACATGCAAAGTTTATCCCAACATTGCCAATGAATATTGGCCTTTCCTTTACTATCCCAAAGAAACTTGTTAAAAAGTTTTTCCAACCTTTTAACAATACCAATAACTCATTCATCACTTGTAAGGCATAGATAGGTAAGGAAGTAATAATACTCTTTAAAGGAGTAATCCTCCCACCAAAAGAAAGGAATTTATTCTCCCAACAAAGAATTCTTTTTTGAATTTTGTCAACAAGATGCCAGCAAAGAGCATTCATTTTCAAACCTTTATGCAGATTAAAACTGAGGTAAGATAAATGAAGAGAAGCTTTCTTGCAATTATTAATATCCATAATCCAGTTCTTCCTACAAGCCATAATATATTTAGAACAATAGAACGAGCATTTGGAAGTGTTAAATTCCAAAACCGAAGTATCCTGAAAAATCTGAATATGATGACATAATCTCATAATGGATATTTTATTAGTATTTGTAAAGATAATCAAATCATCTGTAAAGCAAAGATGAGAAATGATAATCATAGTATTAGTGATTGACTCAAAAGAGACTATATGGTCGGTCGCATCAATCTGCCCCTTGTAGGACTCAAACATTAGGATCTTAAATGGCTCTATGGGCCCAACCGCAAATATTTGTTGAGAGAATACATTTTTGGGTTAACAAAGTGCCTTAATACTCCTGAACTAATGTTGTTTAATCGGTGTCGACTCAACACTAATGAATCGTTGGGAGTCACATTCTCTTTCCAAAGCGAGGTGACTTTTCTACCATTGAGCGGTGATCTTTCATCATGAAAATGTTGTTCCTTGTGCCTCGAATGACATCCAAATTTTGATCATTCAACTCCTGGATATGTTAAGCTACGAACTCTTCGGTAGACTCTATGTTTTCAGTGTCTATACTGTAGGTTTCTTCTCCTATGGCTACTCCTCTTTTTTATTGTGGCATGATCCACACTCACTACACCATTTAGAATGTTAAATCTTGATTTATTCCCGAATTACACCCAAGGAATAATGCCTAAAAAGAGGGAGACAGAGAGAGACAGAGAGAGGAGTGGAC